GTGCTTTAAACCACCAGTACGTTTCCCAGCCATTTTTTCAGAGTTGCACCATGCGTGCAGTTGCGACTCTCGGGAAGTACTGAGGCCCCATGCCGCTGGATAACCATCTAGGCAAAACGGGTCATATGCGAGGCCTGTTTCGCCTGGATGAGATATCCATCAAAATGGTGCCCCAGTACTTCCCGAGAGTCGCCGCTGCATGCGCACTGCAACTCTGAAAATTGGCTGGGAAACGGACTGGTGGTTGAACTGCCTGCCCTTATACAAGCCTTAGGGGATTAACAGTCTTCACACCTTATGCCTAAGCTAGCAGATGGACTCAGTCCTTCATCCCCTGCTTCCCTCATTCCATGATTGTTTTTTCCCAGGCTGCATCTCCTGCCTTTCCCATCTGCACCGACCCTTTTTTCAGCAGAGCTGTGATTTTGGCAGGCTTCCTGCACTGGTTAACTTTTCATTCTCCACCCCATCTTGCTTTCTGCATGTGTGCTTGTAGAGGGGCTGGGACAGTTGTCAGACACCACCATTTGCTTCATTTCCAGTACCTTTTATTGGCTTCCCAATTGCTGTACTTTTTTGGTCCTGTGCCTGCTTGCACTTTTGACTCTGTGCTGAGCCCGGCCAGACCCAGAGGATATAGGAAGGGGATAGCAGATGAGGTGTGCTTTGGAGTTATCCCCTGGTACCACCGTTAAGAAGCAGTTGGTTGATCTCAGGGGCAAAGGGCGAAAAAGCAGTCAATGGCAGTTGATGATCTCAGGGGCCTGGCCCAATGATTTCCATCGATCTTCCACAGGTCCCAGCACCTTTATACTGATTGCTCCCTTTCCCGCTGCCTGCCATCGTAAGGCTTCCTAATTCTTGCACAGGCCTCTTCCTTGCCCTAATATCTTCGGCTCCAATTGACTCTGTTACCTCTCCTTTTGCCTGCACAAATCCAAAACTGTATACTTTTCTCTCTGCTGAACACCTTGGTCTCCATATCACCTTAAGAATATCAGAGAGTCTAGCTGTTTTGAAGGGGTTGTGCAGAAATGTCGTCCACTGGTGTGTGAAGTCCACCGGTCTTCCCGACAGTATCATCTGTACACGCCAGGGGAAAGATTAACCAATGAGGTGTGGTACCATGCCACCATCGCCGTATTTAAAGGGCCACAGGACACTTAAACCACCAGTACTTGGCCCAGCTATCGGCCGCAGCGCTTTGCCGTTAACGCGCCGCACCTTTAGGGCTTCGGGGTACCAGACCACAATGGCTGAAAGCGCCAGCCAAAATAAAATTGAAACGGTACCCCGACGCTTTGCCGCGCAGGGTCATTCCAGGCTCGGCATCAATAGCTGGGCCAAGTACTGGAGGTTTAAGGAGACAATGTTCTAGCATGGTTACTCTTGGTTGGGAGGAGTGACCACAGTCAGAGAAGGTTGACGATAGCCGAGTCAGACCCTTTTGGCAATCATGCTCTAGTTGTGATCTAGACACCAGCCAATCCAGGGTTGGCAGACAGCAGTTCACAATCTGCCATTGAAGAACCCAGTCGGAGGTAACCGTTGGCATATTAATATGCATTTAACGAGACCATGACAGATCTGCCAGGTCCTCTGCCGAAGGAGAATGCCTAGCCCACGTCTTTATTAGGACTGGTTTGGATGGTTGAGTTTTGTGACACCTGTATCCTTCTTTTACAGAGTACCGCCAGAATGAGAGGGGTTGTTTGCTTTCCATTCCCACTCGTCCGGTGCATAGGGTAGGGCACATACCATGATACCAGGGTGACCGTCGCCATTAATTTTCATACGCAAACAGGGCTAAGCCTTCCTCCTCACTACCGACTAGCCGGACTTTGAGGAGGCCTTGCAGCGTGATCTAGCTGCTCATTTCTCACCAGGAACATCCACCTTGCCCCTGGCCGTACAAAGATTCCAACTCCTTGTCGTCGTTGTCGAAAGTGGGACGGTCTAGCCTGGAATATAACAACTGGATGGACAGGCGCTTCCGTTGTTTCTCTTTATTTTTTTCCAAGTCTGAAAAATCTTCAAAGAAACCACATTAATGTGACATTCGTTTGGTGTGCTGCAGTACCAGATCGCAGGGCTTGCAGCCTGCAAGTATCTTCTGCATAGCCAATCATGGGACATAGAATGAGTAACGGCCAAATGGTTATGCCCGGAACTGTTGCATGACAGAGTATATATGTGGGACGCCATAGCATAACTGCTATGAATTATCTTGACAACAACACAAGACACACACAAACACACAAATACACAATACGACCTCGCTAAGCTCTCCGTTCAGGTGGAACCGTACTAGTGGTCATGCCACTGGCAGAGTATATCCACGGCTGAGTGGGTGTGTAGAGTGGGGTTTATGTCTGTGACTCCTGTGACAAACTAGTTTCTCAGACTTACTGCCGTTGTTTTCAGGGCCATGGAGCGACAGTTTGCTAGGACTGAAGGGTTGGTGCGAGTAAAGTCTACCACTTTTCTCCTCCGGGAGATTCCTAACTCTGGGCGAAGTGGTGATACCTTATCCCATCAGTTAAATCATGCACCCCGGAGAGACTGTCAGGATTCAACCTCCTGATGAGTAAGTGAAAGTTGGAGAGGAAACAGTGTGGCACAGTCATGCTTCTTTTGTGGAGTTGTGTATAGCAAACACGACAACACACACACACACACACACACACACACACACACACACTTACACACACAAACACATTGTTTGTTGGTTTGCCCGGCTGTTTTCTCCCTCGCTGTTCTCTTCGGTGTACAAGTGCTGCATGGCTTGGCCTTTTTCCGTGTTTGTACGTGCCTGAGTTTAGTACCCTTATGACGTGCCATTGTGCCAAATAGTCCATACCTGTTTGTATGGGAGTGCCCGCAACACTATCAGGGACACGGCAACATTTATGATGCCTGTGTCTGTCTGTTTTCCAGTGGTGAACGCACTGAACGGACATTTGTCTTGTGAGTTTTGTAGCTTCCTGGATCTTGATGCTGGTGTGATCCCACACTCTGCAGGGCTTCTCATATGTTTTTTATGCTTTCGTGTGTGTGTGCGAGAGAGAGAGAGAGAGAGAGAGAGAGAGAGAGAGAGAGAGAGAGAGAGAGAGAGAGAGAGAGAGAGAGAGAGAGAGAGAGANGAGAGAGAGAGAGAGAGAGAGAGAGAGAGAGAGAGAGAGAGAGAGAGAGAGAGAGAGAGAGAGAGAGAGAGAGAGAGAGAGAGAAAGAGAAGAGACAAATTGAAAGAGGAAATAGAGATGGACACCGCCAAACTCAATGACAAACCGAGCACGTTCGTTCTCAACTAGAACATAAAAAGAAGGGAGGCCGAAGAACCGAAAAACACACTTCGTCTCCAGAGCCAGGGAGCAACAGGTAAAGTATCCAATGGCCCGCAAATGGCGGGCCAGTCCAAGCGCACGGTCCGAGTCCATGCCAAAGTTAACTGACACTAGGATTTTCCGGGATGTATATATATGACCGAGCGTAGACGCACCCGACCGCAATTACGTCCACAGAGAAGTCGAAAACGTCCTGACGCAAACTCACACTAGGATTTTCCTGGATGTACACGACCGCTCTTCCGACCCGGCCTGGATGCACCCGACGTCCACAGAGATGTGGAAAAAGTCCTCGCAGAGGGAGTAGCCCTACTACTATATATAGCTATTCCTCAGCGGATCTGCTCGCCTACAACTACAACTCGCCCAGTTCACCTGCTAACCTATAGACGAGTTGATCTGCTAGCTTGTCGATGCAACAGAGGAGAGGAGCTGTTTCTGCATTCCAGACTTGGAGTTCGTGAATTAACAGTGAATAGAAAAGCCTCGTTTGATTTTGATTCATTCAACTACCAAAATCTGGATTCGAACTCAGGTCAGCATCTTGACAGTTCACGGGTGTATCAATTGAGCCACACAGGATTTTTTTTTTTGCTTTTTTCTATTTAAACTATTAATTCTCTCTCAAGATTTTCTTCCATCTTTCACTACCTACCTACCACTTGCTTTTTTTTATTTAACTAAACTATTAATTCTCTCTCAAGATTTTCTTCCATCTTTCACTACCTACCTACCACTACTAGTAAGGCTAAACAGGGGACCCCTGCAAGCATAGCTACTTACCTCTCTTGGAGAGGGGAGGGACACAAGGCTGGTTAATCTCTTCTAGACTTCCAGTTTTTAAATTATCAGTGATGGAGACTTGCCCACCGATTGCTACCTGTAGGGCATATCAACATATGCTACAAAAATATCGCCGGCGTGCCGCAATGACTGTTCTCATTTCCTTTTCCATTTCCTTGCAGTGCTATTGTTCCGTTCCGACGAACAGCTCCTCTGGCCCCATATCAGCCACCCCCTGGAACTAAATTGGAAAAAGGAATTTAAAAAAACAAAAAAATAACAAGAGAAGAATGCACACTAAGCTTTCCTAACACCTGCTTCGTCCTTGTGTTCGCAATGCAACTGCCGCCTGGTCATCTCTAGGGCTTCCACAGTGTGGTGGTTTCGAAGACCAGGGAGGTGACGACGTACGGGTCCATGTTGGACGCCGGGCGGCGGTCCTCCATGTACCCCTTCTTCTTCGCCTCCGTGTCTCTTCCGATCCGCACGGARGTTCCGCGGCTCGCCACGGCCCACGAGAACTTGTCCATGCTGGCCGTCTCGTGGCGACCCGTCAGCCGCCTCTCGTTGCCCTCCCCGTAGGCCTTGATGTGCTCCTGRTGCCKCAGCTCCAGGTTCGTTACGGCCTGCATGATCACCTCCCACCCGCCGTCCTCCCTCATCGCCTTGGTGCTGAAGTTGCAGTGGCACCCGGCACCGTTCCAGTCGCCCTCCACGGGCTTCGGGTCCAGGGACAGAATCACCCCCTCCAGCTCGGTTATCCGCTCCAGCAAGTAGCGCGCCACCCACAGCTGATCGCCCGCCTCGATGCCGATGGCCGGCCCCACCTGGAACTCCCACTGCCCGGGCATCACCTCGCCGTTGGTYCCGCTGATCTTGATGCCGGCGTACACGCAGGCCTTGTAGTGAGCRTCCACGATGCGCCTCCCCCACGCCTTGTCAGCCCCCACGCCGCAGTAGTACGGCCCCTGCGCRCCGGGGTAGCCGTTGACGGGCCAGCCGAGCGGCCACTTGTGCTCCTTCTCCAGCAGCGTGTACTCCTGCTCCAGACCGAACCAGGGCTCGGCGTCCAGCGCCTGCTCGAACAGCTTGTTGGCAGCGTAGCGAGTGTTGGTGGGAATGGGTTCTCCCTGAGGAGTGTAGCAGTCGCACATCACCAGGATGTTGTCCCCGCCGCGGAAGGGGTCTCTGAAGATGGCYTGGGGATAGAGGATGACCTCGCTRTCCTCGCCCGGAGCCTGGCCCGTGCTGGAGCCATCGTAGTTCCACTTGGGGAGCTCAGACACSGMCTTCAMGGGGCCGGGCAGAGTGCGGGGCTTGCTGCGGATGTCCAGCCCGCTCCCACCCACCCAGATGTACTCCGCGATGATGCGCTTCTCGTCCGCCGGCATCGTCAGCCTCAGCAAGTCGTCAACAGTGCCCGCCATGTTCGCGATCTCCCTCGTCGTCCTGCGGTCTTCTCTTCCCCTGTTCCGCTCTCGTGAGCTTGAAGCGGCAACGAGGGGAGAGGGGACGCTCACAACGGCGCCGATGAGGCAATCCACTTCTCGCCGGCTCTCCCACCTCGCCCCAGATGCTACCCTGGTTTTCGATCTGAGCAAAAAACTACCACACTGATGATCGACGTGATGCGTCACCTGCCTTTATAAATAGCAACCGGCAGAGAAGCTGTTAAGGAACAGAGCAAGGGCACGGTCGCCGATGATGATTGGCAATGCCCTTCCGCGGGGATGAATGGAAGCCTTGAGTTAGGGCCTCGCTGCACTACTCTCGAAATGTGCAAAACGAGAGTGAATCTTCCGCTAGAATATGGAAAGATACAGCGCCATGTTTTTTGTCTTTTGTGCATGTCGAGAGTAGTGCAGCGATGCCCTTAGAGTATACTCACACTCGGACTTTCCTGGATGTATACGACCGTTTTTCCGACGTTGCCGGCATGTATCTGGCCGCAATTACGTCCAAATAGAAGGGGGGAAAGCCCTAATTGTGAGCATGCCCTCAGAGGGCGAAACGAAGATAAAAGAAAGAGGTCTTGGGGTAACCATCCGTCTTCCCCCGAACATAACGCACCCTGAAAATGAATGAACGTATACAAGGCATGTTTCTTTCTTCTTTTTTTTTTCTTTTTTTTTTTCATGTTTCAAGCGGGCGCGATACAGTCAAAAATGAGGGTGCGTTATGTTCGGGGGAACGGTTGACGCCAAGTCTGTTGTGTTTGCTTCGTTCAGCACTGCTTCGACATTCCTGGTTGTTTTGGAGTTTCTTAATTAGTTATCAGGATTGTTTGTACTGATTGTTCCCCTCCTTTTTCTTTTCTTTTTTCCCTCGCTGATTTTTACTCTAATGTTTTACTGATTTGGTGGAGTTCTTGATTGCTGATACGGAGGAAGCTTCTACCTTCACCTTGTGGAGAAGGTAGGGCACACACTCATTTTAGGGCTGGCCATGGCTGAGGTCTGGGATGCACGACATGCTCATCATGCCCGAGGTCTGATCTTCGAGGCGTCTCCATGCCACCGAGGAGGTGGTGTGAGAGCACTGTGAGTATCCCCTTAGAAGCTGTCCTTCACACTTTTCTGGTTTCGCTATCGGGACCGGGACACAGGAGTTCATACGTGCCCTTTTAACGGTCTGGGATGCACCACCTGCTCATCATGGCTGAGGTCTGACCTCGAGGCGGAAACGGCCGGTGTCCATGCCTCCCGGGGGCTAGGTCCCACTTACACGAATTAAGCGATATCGACCGTAGATAGCAAAGATCAACGGCCAGAATCTCTTAATCCGTGCAAGTGGGACATTGCCCTGGACTGTTCCGCAGGATACAATGGGATACAATGGGAATTGGGAATGGGGAGGAAGGCTCTACACAGAGTCTACAGTCCATCCAATGGGGCTCGCTCCTCTGCAGGAAGTTCTAATAGAATCTGGACCTGGCAACAGTCCCAATACATTCAGAATATTGGATGACTCCGAATGCATCTGGTCCATTTAACTCGCACATACGTGTAGAGTGTTGACCACAGGACCGAGGGCGTATGGGTGGGTTGTTTCGCCTCCTCCCGTTTCTCCTGCCACCGACTGAGGCAATGACCGTCCAAGGGTGAGGCCCCTGACCTAATTGTATCCATCGGATTCAATCACGGTTCAGATTCATGACCTGTTTGATTACTGCGACATGTGCGAAAGGGCCTCGCTCCACTACTCTTGACATGCACAAAAGACAAAAATCATGGCGGTGTAGCCTACTGTCGTTCCATGTTCTAGCGGAATATTCACTCTCGTTTCGCAGGATCCGATTTCGAGTTTCGAGACGACTGGGGCGAGACCCAAAGATTCAGCGACATGAGCACCGCCCCTTCATCTGGTGTCTACCTCGTTTTGGCCAACCCGTGTTCGGACAGGCAGAGTACCGCCCCTTCATCTGATGGAAAGTCGTCGTGAACGCATCGTGGCTTCTTCTTCGAGATGGTGGGCCGGCTTTCAACAGCAGCCGGAAGCCGCGCAGAGGAGTGGAATTCCTAGCTTACCGGACTTCTCCATCTCTGGCCGTTGATTTTCACTTTCACAATCTTAGGCCAGGCCCAATGAATTCGCGATGGTCACCCCTGGGAAGTCCCGAGAAGACACTCCCCACATACATATGGCTTCGAGGTGTATTTTTCATTATTATATCGTTGTGACTGTTGCTGTCCGCACCGTATTGCACAGTACCAAGGCCCGTATTGCACAGTACCAACCCATAAAGGTTGTGAAATGAACAGACCGCCCATGTTGCCAAATCGCTTAGAAGGGAGTCAGAAAGGTGGGCCGCAGTCCCCCACACCACGGAAAAATTGAGGGCGGCCGTGCTTCGCCAAAAACAGGCGTGGAGAATGACCTGGCCTGGCAGCGCCTCAACTGGCTGTGTGTGAGCAGGTTCACATATGCCATGAGCGCAGGGAGTGGACTGTCGCTGGAAAGGTCAGCGCGTGAGGCTGGACAAGCTGTTGCGGGAGGGCAGGCCCCCGTCACTTATACAATGACTGGGCAGGGCAGTGGGACTGGAAGGAGTGGCGAGGTGGTCCTCCAGCCTGGATAAGTGTCAAATCACTGCGGACTGAGCCGTAGATGAAGGAGAACCAAATATTTCAAAGAAATAAGAAAAGCTGGTAGCCGCAGGCAATTGTCCTACCGCTTCTCGCGACCGGCCTTTCCTTACCTCAGTCACACCAGCACACACTGACGGTGACCAACCCGTTCCGGTAACAGAATCGTTTCCTCTCACCCAACTACTCGGCAACTCTTCTTCTCATCCGCACATTCTCAACATCTACTGTTCGTACCTTCCACTCATTTTCACTATCACTGTATCCGGACACGGGACGCCATGAGGACAGTAGGTGGAGCACAGGAGCTAGGGGAGGGGTACTGTTTTGTACAGAGGTAGTCATGGGACGCTGCACCCGGTTCCCAGCAGGTGAGGCCTCCCACACAATTCTCAGAAATTTTCAGTACTCTTCAGTATTCTTCTGTATCTCTCAAAAAGATTTCAGCTAATTTCAGCCGATTTCACTGCAGCCTGTTTTTCTGTTGCTTTTCTGTTGCTTCAATGGGCGCCATGAGGATAGTGGGTGGATGGCAGAGGCTAGGGGATGGAGGG